GCTTAAAATGAGCCCTCCTAAAGGCAGAAAAGATATCTCTGATTGCTGACTAAGAGAGACATGCTGCTGAGACAGGGTCTGAGAGGGACTGCCAGCTGAGAGAGACTACCAGCTAAAGAGATTTCTGGCTGAGAGAGACTGAGCACGTCCCTTCACTTGAATTGTAGCCAGTTGCTTCCTTAATAAACCCCATAATCTATGAGTTCTATGTTGCCACTGCAGCAAATTACCAAACCCAGCAGAGAGGTGATGGGTGCTGAGAGGGATGGTTGGTGTCAAGGTTAGTCAGAGAGCTGGAGGGTGGTGATATGTCTGGCCTCATAAGAGCAGGCCTTGGGTTGCTGATGGTGATTCTGTCTTCCTCTTGTGGAGTTAGAGGCGGTCAGAAGATGCCACCTCCTGGCCCCTTTAGTAGAGGGTCAGCATGAGCTTTCTGAAAAATTGTGGACTTCAGCTCTCTTTGGTAACTAGGAAATATGTCTAATCAAAGGTCTACCTAAGACACCTTTCAGACATCAGCCAGCCTATTTGCTTCCCACTTTGCTCCTTCTGAGGGCCTGAATTTCTTAGACATCTGGGTAGATGCTGCCTGTGAGGCCCAGAATTTGAATCAGCACACCCTCCAGAAACTGCCCCAAACAGGATGCTACCTTGGTTAGCAACTTGGACATTCTTGATCCTCAAGTGAAATAAAATTAATGCACTTGATTTTGGAAAGGTGTTCCTCTTTGTGAACACAGAGAAATACCTTTTGTTCCCACATACCACCTCTGCAGTTTTCAATAAATAACAGTCTTGGCTTGCTCTGAAATACCTTAATAGGTAAATAAGGAGTTCTGAGTCTTTGAAGGAAAGAACAGAAGTGTGAGATTGTTATTTTCAGGAGGAGTGGCCACAGTTTGGGGAAAAAACATAGGCGGCAGTAAGAGTGAAGGAAGGCAGTGTGGGCTTGTTCTAGAAGAGGCCCATATATGGTGAGGGAGGGATGTGAGAACCCAGTGAAGAGGGAAGCCAATGGTGGAGGGAAGCAGGGAGCACGATGTAGGGAGGGTCTTCTAGAGACAGCCCAGAGTGGGGGTGACCCCTAGGCTTGGAGTTGTCATCCTGAAGGGTTTGATTGTTTCCAACCACTGGCCCCCTCCTTAAAACCACTATTTCATTATACTCAATCTTTGCTTTTAATCAAGAGTTATATCATCTTAACACTTTCCACTAACCCAAGCATTGAATTCCAACCAAGCTTCAAAGTCATTTTCATACCTTCAGATGTGGAAATTGAGGCAAAAAGAGGTGTGGAGACTTGCCAAAGGCCTCACAGCAAATAAATGGCTGAAAGGGGTTAAAACCACATGCTCTGTTACTTCCAGACCCTGAGCACATCCTCTGGGCCAGTCCTGGCCAGTGAGCTAGCTGGTCCCTTCCCTTGGCTGGTAGAGCCCTCTCAGCAATGCAGCTTCCCCTCTGGAGAACCCAGAGCACAGCACATGTGGACTCAGCTTCTGGAAGGTATACCCTAGGTTGGAAGGATTTGTGTGTGGGGGTGCATAGGTATTCATGTGTGTGTGTATGTGTGTGTATACACACCTACACATAAATACAGAAATTATATATATATATATATATATATATATATATATATATATATATGTAATAAAATATACAACAGACCCATTGCCATCAAGTCGATTTCAACTCATGGCAACCCCATGTTTTACAGAATAGAACTGCTCTATGGGGGTTTTCTAGGCAGTCATCCAAACAGAACAAGGAGATATCATATGGTTAGGTTCAGGAAAGGAGTGTACCAGAATTGTTTCCTTTCATCATACTTATTCAATCTGTATGCTGAGCAAATCATCCAAGAAATTGGACTATATGGAAAACACGACATCAAGATTGGAGGAAGACTCATGAACAACCTGTGATATGCAGATGACACAGCCTTGCTTGCTGAAAGTGAAGATAACTTGAAACACTTACTGATGAAGATCAAAGACTACAGCCTTCACTATGGATTACACCTCAACATAAAGAACACAAAAATCCTCACAACTGGACCAATAAGCAACATCATGATAAA